ACAATAATACTGAGATGATATCTGTTTCAGAATAAACAGGTTGTTAGCATATTCAGTGCAATCTTTTAGTTATTTTTTATTAATTTATACTCTCTACTTACTGTCCATCACCACAAGAAGCTGCCATCCCATTACAAACTGCTACATCAGTCAGGTTATCCTTATGATTTTTGACTTGGAACAGTTCTTCACCAACTTCCTTGATATGTGTGGATATGGCAATAATGAATCCAGCACTAAATCCTATAAGGATATAGCCATCTCCATACCATTTGTACGATACTATGGAACCATAGCGCTGTTGAAATGCCAGTTCTATTGGATTCTCTGGGTTCAGGAGATTGTATAAGTATAGAGTCCTCTTACCAACTACCAAACTTATCTGGAAGATTAATTTTAAACATGTTAACCCACCATTCAATGATGCAGAACAATTTTCTACAACACATTTTTATTTTTTAACTGATTTTATTAATGAAAAAGTTAAGCAACTTTAGCATTACTTGAAAAAAATACTACAATTAGAAAATTGATGTTGTAAGTATATGGACTCAAGATAAAACTAAGTGATATACTATTGGTCAGGTAAAACTTCAAAATAGCTTATGGTGGGTGTTATTGTATCACAATATGACAGCACCATGGTGCTTTAAGAAAAACTAGTGGTAACTTACTGTGTTCTCCCCAGCAACTCTCTCATCAGTTTTCATCTCTGAGAACTGCAGATCATTTGGTGCATCTCTAAGAGATATCATTCTCAAAGTGTCTCCATCTGAGTTATTAATTGACAAGCTCTTGTCTTCTGATGCCAATACCAGAATACTGTCCTTATTCCATGCGGCACATGTGATTTTCTTTGTATGTTTACCTATTATTGGTATTCTCCTGAAATGTAAAAATAGGTAAAGTTCAAGGGTAGCCAAGTGATTGAGAACTACTGTATCTCACTCTGCTTTGCAACTGCTATATTCCCTAACAACTCAAACAAATTATATTAAAAAAATAATGTAGACTTATGTCAACAAATTATATTAATAAAATAATGAGTCCTTACTTGGTTGTATGATGATTATAAAGTGCAAGATTTCCTTTCTGTGTTCCAACAGCCAATAATGGTTCTCCGTAAGCCCATGCAATGCATGACGGAGGTTCTCGTAGTCCAGTTTCAATATTAATTCTTTTATTAGCATGACACTCCCACAACAACACGGTATTACTATTAGGAGTTATAATCGCTAAATAATCACCATCTTGGTCCCATTCCATTCCACCACAAAGGCTAAAAATAAATAATATAGGTACACATTATTCTAAATTACCTCCTGTGCTTCACCCAAATTGCTTTGGGACAATGCCTGGGTTCTTCTAGTCATCTCACACTTTTCTTTCATAGCAATCACTTATTTCACGCTTTCTGATTACCATCCAATTGAGAGATTTTAGTTGTGGGAATTAGATAATCCACTTTGGTTGTAAACTTGTTTCGGTATAATTAAATATCTTACCCCTGTAACTTCATCCTTTCTAACAACTGTCCACTTCTATCATGCACAGCCACAGTAGCATCTGTTCCAGTTGTGGCCAGCAAGGAATGGGACTCTCCCTTCTGCCACAAGAAGTACAACTCTCCCATGCCATGAGGCTGTTCTATAGTGTATAACAACTGGAAAATATTACAATGTAACCATTAATAACGTGTTGAACGTAGATACCGTGTATGTAACCGGCATTATTCAGTCCGGAACATGTTTCAATATAAATTTTAAAGATAATGCTTACTTTTGGAGTCGTCATTTTGCGATGTCTTTTCTAAAGACAAATAACTGGAAAGGTACTTGTGTTAGAATAATTAATACTTAAATGTTATTGATAAAAATACATTTTGTCGGTTGTTGATGCTTTATTTCGTTGCTAAGCAACTGAAAATTTGAGATGACTGAAGATTGACGTTGTGAAAATATTCCGATTATTGTCCTAAAGTAACATTCTGATCTTCCTCAAGTCTTCCATATTATTTATAGTTTATATGTATTAATAATCATTCATAATTTTATAAAGAATAAAAAAATGAAAAATTGATTTAAAAAAAAATCATAGCTTTCGCGACCCATTTTCTACGTCTCTACAGAGTTGCCATAACAAAATTGCAATTCGCAATATTGTAATGAAAATTAATCAATAATAAAGTATTGTCCATCTTAGGTAGACAGAGATTTTGTTGTTTTATCTCTAAAACGACTAAAACTATTATATTTGTAAGAAATATGTATGTCGATTCCAACATCCATAACACTAGGCAAACGATGCTTTTGGTTTATTAAGTTAAGCAAACAAAAGTACAATCTGATTCATACGATTCTTCAAGAGAGATTGGTCGATTGAATTTTTAAGTGACGTGAAAGCACCAAACCAAATCATACGCTTATATTTAATGTAACTTTCGGAACCTTCTCTCTTTTAACCAATTACAAAAATACTTGCGGAAATAACTTCTTTCTTTCCTTCTTAATTCGAATTACACCATTCTAGCCGAAATAATATCTAACCCGATGATTATTGCCCCATAATAGTGTATTTGAATACGTCTCTGATTTGCCAAATACACGTTCTAAATTAATAAATATCTAACTAAAAAAGGGGACTGAAATGGTATGTAGGCAACATTTCGTTAAATGTCATCATCACGTTCAACGATTGTCAAAAGTTGTCCATCAACTTTCTAAAAAATAAATAAAATGAAGCAACTTTCTATTGTATCTAATGTATAACTCTGTAATTACTAACCTTATTTAGATTAAGTAAAGAACAAAATGAAATCTAAACTAATGTTAATTGATAAGGTTTGTGTTACCTAATAAAACAATAAACTTTAACCTATAAAATGCCGATATTTTATTAAAAGTCGTTTATGTTACAGATACTTCCACATTATATCGATAAAAGCAGTGTATTACGAAACCTGAAAAATGTAACTATTTCTTATAAACACGCTGAAAGTAATTATGCAATCCACATCAATAAATCTGGATCCAACTTGGACGACACTGGACAAAATCAAAGCACTAATGATCTGTCTTTTAACGTAGAGAAAACATCTTTTATGAAGACTATACTAGAAAACATAAAATCACCTTTGCCAAGACCACTTGCAACACCAAAGAAAATAGTTATAGACTTCAGTTCACCAAATATAGCCAAGCCATTTCATGCAGGGCACTTGAGATCAACAATCATAGGAAACTTTATTGCCAATATCAATACATATTTTGACAATAATGTCACTCGACTTAACTATTTGGGCGACTGGGGTACACAATTTGGGCTCCTGCAGTATGGATTAAAATCAAAGAATATTAATGTAAAGGACTTAGAAAATGATCCAATTAGAATCCTGTATGATGTTTATGTGTATGCAAATAAATTAGCTGCAAATGATGCCAATGTTCAAGAAGAGGCTAGAAAGTTCTTTTCAGATATAGAACAAGGTAGAATGAGCTTAGAAAACTGGAAAAATATTCGAGAAGTCACTGTACATGAGTTAGAGAAAGTGTATCAAAGGTTAGGAATACAATTTGATACATACCACTGGGAATCAGATTATAATGGTGGAGCTATTAAACCTATTATGGATTTGTTGGAAAAGCAAAATATAATCAAAATTGATGATTCTGGAAAGAAAATAGCAAAAGTAAATAATAGAGATGTGACTGTATTGAAAAGTGATAATTCAACACTATATTTGGCGAGAGATGTTGCAGCTTTATTGGATAGATATAAGAAATATGAGTTTGACAAAATGTTGTATGTAGTTGACAATGCCCAAACTGATCATTTTAATGCAGTCTTTGAAATTGTTAAACAAATTGACCAGAAATGTACAGAAGGTTGTGAACACATCAAATTTGGCAGGCTGAAAGGAATGAGTACAAGAACTGGAAATGTTGTATTTCTGAATGACATATTGGATGAAGCTAAAAGAAAAATGCATGACAAACAGGCTTTATCAAAAAGTAATGCTTTTCTGTTAGACTACATACATAATAACATTTATACTCACTGTATTATGCTTAGGTTCAAAATTGTCTCTTATTTATTTAGTTTCAAATCCATATAACTTTAAAAAAAAATTTTAGAAACCTAGTCAGTTACGGTGCTAAAATAGTTTTTACAGTGAAAGCATGCATTTCACTAATCATAATTTTATCAATATCTTTGCAGATACTAGAACCGGAGCAATGAATGAAGAAACATGCGACATCTTGGGTACCTCGGCTGTCCTAATTAATGATTTGAAGCAGAAAAGGCTAAAAGACTATACATTTAGTTGGGAAAAAACTCTTCAAACTGAAGGAGACAGTGCTATCAAATTACAGTATCTTCACTGTCGTCTTTGGAGTCTAGAACAAAACTGTGGTGTATCATTACCAGACTCATGTGAAGCAGAGTGCCTATCTGAAGAAGTAATAGGAGATGTAATAGCAGAATTAGCTAAATTCGAAAATACCCTTCAGAAATCTTTAGAAGAATATGAAGCTTGTATTCTTGTTAATTACTTATTCCGTCTCACAAGACATGTGAATAGAATGTTTAACGAAGTAAGGGTAAAAGATGTGAACTCAGATTTAGCAGCCCAACGATTACTTGTTTTCTATTGTTCTAGAATAGTTCTTAAAACTGCCTTGCAGATTTTAGGTATAAGACCTTTGAAAGAAATGTAACTAGAAACGAAACTTTAAATATATCAATTTTATTGGCATTAAACTGTCAAACACCAAGCGGTCACCGGTGACCGCAACCTATTGTTCCATAATTGTGTCTGTATTGATGGTACTCAACGAGTAATAATATTTTTTATAAGTTCCCTGGTTATAATGATTCATAACTGACCTATCTCGAAATCCTTGAAGGAGGCTTATGTTCAGTAGAGTCTTGTTCTTGTTGCTGTTATGATGATGATAGTAAAATAGCCAAAACTAACAAAAAAATAAAATAGCTGGGTACAATAAATTTTTTTTGTATGTATTTATAGTGCCTAATCCGTTCAATAATTTTAATTGCGTTTAAAAATTTGTGGATAAGCTACTGTCTGAGTTTCTGGTGTTATTTTCACCCTAACAATTTATTCCTGTTTGCGATTTGTCCTGCCTCCTGAAATTCTGACAAAGAATGGGAACAAAAGTAAATGTTTCTTACCCATTTAATTTTACGCAGACGTTCTTACATTAAATATGCGCGTAATTTTGGTTATATATTTTGACGAAACTTTGTATTTATTTTGAAAACAAGCGCCATAATTTATATTTTCCGCCGCAGCAACGCCATCGATGTTCGACGAGAATCATTTTTTCCCTCCATTATGATCGATCTAAAAACTACTTCCGTATCCTCCTTCGGGTAAGGCACAGATAAAAATAGTAAGAATTGTATATCTTATAAAAGTTATTAGCTAAAAAAAAGATAGACAAAATTCAAATAATTTGTTCTCAGATAAGCATTCATCTGAGAACAAACTATTTGATATGTATTACTCCACACCAACTCCACACCTTGGAACCCTCGAAGCTCTCTCGTCTTTGGAAGACGAAGGAGACTGTGACGCGTTGGTTTGAAGAGTTGAAGGTACGGGAAACTACATACTTTGGCAGACTGTGTGTCATTGTGTGTACGTAAAATATATATAAAATATTATACCAACACTGTATTAATATAACAAATCCGTCGAAAATGTAAAAAGAGGTTTTTGACGATAAATTAGTATAATGAATAGCCCAAACAATGACAAGATTTAGTTGTAGTGGGTGTAAGGCTAGTAGTAAACTGCGCGTTTTTATACATGCAGGCAACGCGCGTATACGCGCTTGTATCATAAATGCAAACTGAACAATCAGCGTTTATGGTGCCGAAGACGCGTTACTAATACGCGTGTTGTCGTTTGAATCATAAAACGCTACTGTACAATCGACTGTGACTTTCGTTTAACTTCAAAGTATACATACGTTGTAGGTAGGCTTACTTTGATGGCGGTAATAACAAAATTACTTTTTTTAATCAACAATAATAAAAAATTACACAATGAGTAAATCACGGGAACTTCACAGATCAAGCAAGCAAGTTCCCCTAATATACCATTCTTTGACTAGTTTTTGTTTAAAACAGCATTGAAACAGAAACATGCATTCTGCTGGATTTCTGAAATTGTAACATAAACTTGATTTGGTCAACTTCACGAATACACATTACCTTTCATTAATGCAAACAGGGATGTGTATGTGTAGGTACCGGTGTATATCTGCTTCATCTGCTTACCCCACTGAGGCAAAATCATTGACCTTTCTTGAAAAATAAAAAAAATAAATTACTCAAGGGGTTTTTTTTATTAAATAACCAATTTAATATTGATCACAAATACACTATGTAAAAATAAAATTCAGAACTTGAATTTGAAATGCATTTTGTAAATACTAAAATACTAGGTCCCAAATAACTTTAAAACTATAAAATACTAGTTTATGGCCATCTCTATACCATAGACACTCTAGAGACACGTCGTATTGATGATGGCCACTCCCGATTTGGAGGGAATTTTTAAAAATCTAGTTTTGTTTAATTTTTGTTGGGGTCATGGATTGGACAAATTAATTTAAAAATAATAACTAAGGTAATACACATCTTTAATTGAATATTGTTACTCAAAAACGTTTACATTAAAAAAGATTTTTCTATAAAATACGCTTTTACATGGAAAAAACATCTTCGGGTTTCTTCGGCTAACTTCGGCTTCGTAAGCCTTGACGTCAGAATATTTCGACCGATCCTGCGTCAAATCGGTATTTCCGGCAGTCACGTGGTCTGCGCGGACCAATCACAACGCGTTCCTATACTCTATATAGGCCGACATTTTCTGACAAGCGTAGAAAAAGTTTTCATCAACAGCCGCCATTTTGCGCTGGAGAGACTGAGAAGAATTTCGGAATTTGTCGTGTAAATTTTCTGTTTTTTCTTACATCATTTTATCATAAACTTTACCATTCCGTGTATTTTAAAGTGTTAAGTGAAATCGTGTTGTTCGATATCGTAAATAAGTTCTATAAAGTAGCTAAAATCTGGTGATATTGTTTTCATTTATTGTGCTAGTTCCGACGGAAGATGGTGAGAGGGTCTGTGTAGCTCTTCGATTCGGAGCTTTGTAATGGCGAATACTTGAGTGAGAAATTATAATATGTGCCTTCAATGGTGCGAAGGACATCGAACGATCGCGATGTGGGTGAATTACATTATGATGAATGACAAATCGCTCTAAAATGTTATTTCTTGAAGATATAAGACATAAAAGTGTTTTTTAAATCGGCGGGCCGAAATATTCACGACGGCTTACGTTTAGTAAACAGAGCCATGGCCGATGAGCCGCCTAACAAGCGGCCTAAAATGATCCGGGACCCTTTTCAGGGTCCCTCGGACTCCGCGGGTGAGTATTTTATTGTTTTATTCGAAGTTTGCAAAGTGTCGGAACAGTGTTCTGTCATATTATCTTTCTTTGATTTTTGACATTTTGCCTTCGCTCTTGTTAGCGCCCCGCAAGTTTTGCGTCGTATTATTGTATCTTAGCTCGTGATATGAGAATATGATGATTTTACTCGATATTTTGTAACATTGTAATACAAAATTCTGATCCATTTATGTTATTTCATTGATTAAATCGAATAAAACGCAAGTTTTGTAACTTTGTTTTAGGGTGTATATTTTGTAATTTTAGGCAAATATTTATTTCATTACCATAAATTAGTGAAATAGAGATTAATTAACTCTTATTTTTTGCAAATATCTTAATTTTTGGTTTAGGTTCCATTTAGATAAGGCATGACATAGAAGTCACTAACATAGCATTATTTCGCAATTTATTAAAAGAGATATGATTAAATATTAATAATACAACTGCAAATTTCATAGAAAATATGTTAAATGTTTCGGTAATAATAGTTATTCATTCAAAACATTGGTTGACATAGAATGAAGTTGGTGACCCACATTATGTTTTGGTAACAGAACATAGGTTTTTTCACCCATATAGACTCAATAAGAATGCTACATTAGATTGTATGTCCACATGTAATGTATTATCTTATGTTGTGTAGATTGATAAGAACATAACCTCTTTTTTGCATGCTGACAAAATAAAGTGCAAGGTTAAAAGTTTACATCAAAACATAAAATTCATCTTTTGTAAAGTTATTGTCTTCATCAGTATCCAGTATTCATATTGAATGCTCACTTCATTACCTTGAATTTTAAACAATATTTCTGGTCTGTATTAAAATATTGTAACATAGGATTATGATACAACTTGATGCAAGCTGTCAAACATTGGTTGTTGAAATAATTTACAACAAAAGTATGTTTTGTTTAGGTTATATACATGTATAAATATTAGTATTGATACACATGAAGTGAATCTGATTTGATAAATGGGAACCTGCTAACTGAACCAGAGCAACTTGTATATAGATTTTTCTGTTACATAAAAAAAATAATGTATTCTAATATTGATCTACAATTATGTTATTTGATATCTAATAATAAACTATGAATATTGTAGATATAATTTAGTTTATATAGTTTGAAATTAAATAAATTATGTTTTTGTTACACAACCTTAGTTCAGTTTTTTTTAAGTAATTAATGTCCCAACTTTAATTACCAGAATAATAGGAACACTAGAACAGTCCACTCTAATTTAGAATATTGAAACATACACTTAGTACAATCAAAATGAAATAGAGGATTAAATTATTAATACATTATAGTGATTATAATTACTCAAAACTTTCATATCAGAGCTAAGTTTTATTTAGAAAATCAGGAGAAAAATAATTTTGTTTAACCTAGTTATTTTAAAATATTTTTTAATATATAAAGTGACTATGTTGCTTATGGGCCACATGCTCCATTGTAGGCCACATCATAGCTTACCACCAGGCGATATTGTAGTCCATCGAAAATATAAAAAAATCAATTTTTTTCTAAATCTATATAAAAGAAACTATTTTTTTCTAAATCTGTATAAAAAATGTACTTTTTTCTAAATCTATGTAAAAAAATATATTTTTGTATATTCTGTTCTATATATCTATTACATTTCAGAAATTTTTAAATCATAGAAATTAACGATTAAAATTTTTAATTATTAAATATTTTAAATTACATCAAAATATTTATAGTAGTAGGACATGTGTATGTATTTATCTATTTAGACTGACACACTAGAAAAACACAAACATAAGACTATCAATATAACAATTATTAACTATTTATTATTTATCATACACTAAATACTGTTGTACTTTCATTTTGTTTCAGTAGATGGGTTTTCTAACCTTGACATGTTCGACCTCGAAAAGGACCTCCCAGACGAATTGATGGGAGGTGCTTGGGGCGAACAGCCCGGGGTCACAGGCCCCAAGCCTCCTGCTCAGGGACCGGGCCCAGGGGGACAGATGTCCCAACAACAGCAGTTGAATGGAGATGATCCTACAGCTGCTATACACAGGCAAATCAACAATCACCTTATACAACAAGTGAGTACCTGGGACTGATGGAATTTTGACTAATATATTGAGTGTTATAGGTATACATTTAAAATACAAATTAAATTGTGTAAATTACAAATGTAAAGTAAACGAATTATGTTGTTTTTTAATATTATTCTAATAATTTCTGACTAATTTTAATTAAGTTTTATAATTATCTGCCTAGAAAATACAATAACAAAAATTCATACTATAATAGACAATTTAACTTAATTTAGTCATTTCCGAAAAAATAAATACTTCTTAAAAACGACTATTACAAAAGAACACGATCAATACCATGATTTATTTTATAACTACCAAAAAGTACAAGTTCATTGATAGGCCATATTAATTGTGTATGTCGTGTATTGGTCTTTTCACAGGGCAACAAAGGCTTAGTAGGCCACAACAATCCGTTAGGATTGAATAATTTAGGTAGTA